GTACTGTTAACAAATGCAAAGCTGATACAATTACACATAAAGCTTCAGTATGCATATATAAAACTATCAATTTTGCATTCATTAAATAAATTCCATTAATCAACTATTCTACAAATAAATACATGTGGGCCCTAAATAACCTAACCACCATTTCAACTCTTAAGACAATCTGGTGGTGTTTTTGTAACATAAATTAGCTCTCTGGATACCACATTTCAAAAACAATATTAATGCACGGTGTTATCAGTCATTAACATCAATTTCAAAGAGCTCAAAGGATCACAATGAGTTTCAAAGTAAAATAAACTTAACAAAACCCCTTTCAAATCTGCAAAAGAATACTGGTACCATATAAATAAAAACTAAATATTACATAATCAAGTCAGAATAAGATTTTTTACTTTTTTCAGTGCTTAGCTAGCCAAGCACTGAAGCTTTACTTTGATTTAAAACAGGCGGCCCATCACTCCACTTTGCTACCTAAGTCACAAAAACCCATCTCTCAGGCAGTTTTTCTTAACCTAAAACATCTAGAGGTGGCAGTCAAATGTTCCCTAGTCATTTCAACTTCTAATTTGATTCTATGGAAAGAGCTATCCAGTGAAAAAGAAGGCCAAAACTTAAAAAGTGCCTGTTTATATATTCCTGCAGTTCTAATTTGTGCCCAGATATGCAAACGTTTCTGTAATCTCTTTCTACAGCTTTTATTACCAGGAATGTAGCAAAATTTCAGGAAATATATAGTAACGGCATGGGACTTTCCCCAGGTAAACAATGACTATAATTACTTACAAGACAACTTTCCAAACTAGAAAATACTTTTTAAAAACACATCAAATTAAAGACCTAATTTTCAAACACAAAGCATGACGTTATTCTGTGGTGACTTTTGTAACCCAAACACTAAACCTTCTTTAGCACTAGAAATGAATATATCCCTTTAAGTGCCTATAAACAAAAAAAAGTAATACAGAAAAATTTTAAACAGCATCAACCTCTAAATATTATAGTACAAATAAGCCACCTCCACAACTGACCTAATAATTTTCCCCTACCATCTACATTTAAGCAAACCAAATTTAGGAAAATATATGCCTTAATGGATTTTAAACTACTACCATTACCCAAAAAATTTAAAATGCCAACTATTTTAATACTAATCATTTCCTAGGAAAAAAAGAACACACATTTCTAAATGATAAACAACCCATAACTTCTTCTAGGCATTCTACATAATCTTTCTACTGATTAACAAATTACAAAAAAAGTTCCAATGAAAGTACTCAGGACAAACTTAAAACGGATGTAAAGATACTTCAAAATGAACCACTATGTACTTTAGCAATAGTTCCCCAACTCAGGTAAGATTCCCCAAACCTTCAGCATATTACTATAAACACGCCTTTATAGTATTACTGTATTTATCCTCCCTATATTTATGATATATATTGCTGATACTTTAACGCAAATCCTTATCCAACTGATAACAAGATTAACCCAAAATATTCTCAAAAATGTACCAAAGTCACCATAATTAGTTTAAATGTTTTAATACTTTCCAATAACTCCACTATAATTAAAATGTAAGAATCTTGAATTATGTTACCAAAAGATTAATGGTTAACATTAATTTAAAGAGCAAAGTGGTCAAGATCATGCTGTATTTCAAAAACTCTGACTAAGCAACCACTTTCTGTTTATAATTTTTTAAAGATATTACCACAAAAATAATATACCATATTACTATTTTGCTGATCCAAAACCCCAAGCATTGTATATCAAATGGCAATCATACAAACAAAAATTCCTTTAAGGAGTCTAATATAAATGAATCTTACAAAGGAGACTAAGAGAAATCAACAGTTTGGATAAAGTATTGTCACACATGGAAAAGGAACATACAAGTTTAGGGGCAAGTAAGAGACACTTACTAAATGTTTAAAACTTTCCAAAGCTTTTTTTTTTTTTTTTTAAGATCTTATTTATTTATTTGACAGAGACAGAGAAAGAGAGATCACAAGTAGCCAGGCAGGCAGAGGGAGAGGGAGAAGCAGGCTCCCCGCCGAGCATGGAGCCCGAGCCCGATGCAGGGGCTCGATCCCAGGACGCCAGGATCATGACCTGAGCCAAAGGCAGTCGCCCAACCGACTGCGCCACCCAGGCGCCCCTAAAACTTTCCAAAGCTTTTAAGTCAAGAGTTATCTTTTCTTACACCTACAAAATTTGAATTTTAAAACTTGAAAGAAGGTCCAATAAAACATACAGGAATAAAAATGTTTGAAAACAAGTAGTAATAGCTAAGTTTCTGTCAGAAATAAAGTTCTACAAGGTGCAGACCAAATTTGTTGGGGGGTGGAGAACTGGCAGGACAAAAATAGCAGCTAAAAACAGAACCCTGGGAGTTATTCAATTCCATTACATGCCCTCATGTAAGTAGCTTGAACCAACCCCAACAAAGAAAAGTGAACTCTTGGTTTTTTAAGACTTTCAGAGAGTAAAAATTCTGAAACCAACACAGCTCAACATTACACACACACACACACACACACACACACACACACACACACACGTCTGTTGTTCCCCAGGAGTGTTCAAAAGATGGATGAAACTAAATAATTCAATACTTCCGATAGCAGGACCCCAGCTCATTCATTCTATTCAGAATCCAATTCAAACACAAGTTGTGAGGTTATATAACGTCAAGCTTTACATCACACATTTCACTGGTATGTTCAGGCTCACAAGAATTGCATGAGGTTGCAAGCACATACTCTAGAATATTTTAATGTTAAGGCTAATGAGTCTTGACCTAAATAGGTAGGACCTCACAAGCACGGAGTCTGAATAAAGACTTTTTTCCTTCAGCTCAATGAACTACTTAGTAATTTATCAGATTATCCAGTGTTTTTATAAAGCCCTAATTCTTCCCCAAAACATAATGAAGTTTCACAAGTTTCTCACTTATGTTACTCTATTCAAACATCAAGAAAGTAATGCACACTTTCACAAAAGATATTTGAAAACATCGACTTCTTTACATTTAAACACAATAGCACATAATAACTGCAGGGCTCAATATTACAATCTGAAATCCAATATTTAGCAACATCCACTGTGAATCTACTAAATACGAGCATTTTGAGACACGAAATCATCAACTTGCATTTTACACATTATCCACATAAAACCTCAGATTCCATTTATTTCTTCTTTACCATAAACCAAAAGCAATAGATTTAGCCAAACTTTTCCAAATGCGCTATCTTTGCAAACAATTTTGCCAACCCCTAGTTAGACTGGCAATAATCACTTCAAAATACAATGATGCTCCCTTATATTTAAATATTTTATTTAATCTTTTGGAAGGACAACTTTGACAGCAGTCAACTGTTTTTAATATTTTAAATACTCAGAAAAAAATTCTTCAAAGCTTTAATCATTGAGGCTTGAATCATTTCAGAGCTAGTCACTACTCATTTTTCCAGTGATAATTTTAATGAAACCAATGAATACCTACATCACCAAAGTTTAATTCAAGTTTCCTGTATCAGTCAAAAACACTAGGCTTACTGGAAAGGATTATTTCTTTAGCTTTCTGGTCATTATTTGTGACTGAAACTCCTTACACTTAGTTACCTTGAAACAAAAACAGAAGTTAATTACAGATAAAAGGAATTAGAGACTCTTCTAAACCAAACTACAGATAAAAACTGAGAACAACTAAATAAAAAAATCAACTTAAGAATAAAATGCTAGGCTTTAGTCATTTCAAACTTCCTTCTCAATTCTAACAATAAGGCTAGGTGTCAAACGCAAAGCTACTGATTTCAGCTTGAAAAGAAAATGTCTAACGGATGCAACACCTATCGCACACACTCCAAGTTTCACGGTCCCAATTAAGAAACCGTAGAAATATCATTTCAGCCATATTTTGGTCAGGAGAAACAAACTGATGCAGACAGATCGAGACTCCACAGCCTTTGTTCAATAGCTTACGGATGGGCAACTAAATGTGCTACAGGTTGATAAGCATTTACCAGGCTTATGAATGCTGCTTCCAAGCTTGAGAAAGGTACAAGAATTCTACATGCAAATCATCTTGGACAATTTTTATTAAACACCATCGAGCTACACACTCCGAAGGAGAGACCTATTCATCGCTACTATTTATTTCCATGTTTACCTCTCCTCCCCCCCTCAAACCCCCCCCTTCACTTTCTCCTCCCACCCTGTCCCGCCATCTTGGGCCGATAGGAGCAGCCATTACTTAACTAAATGACAGTGCCAACAACTTTCCACACAAATAAACAGAGACTACACCCCGAATCCCCCCTAGCCTCCCCGGTCGGACACACAGGAAACGAGACTCCAAGAAGAAAACACATTCACAAATAACTGCAGGATTTCTGTGGCAGAAAGACCCAAAAAGTAAACAAGTCACCTAACTTCAGGTAAAACACATACCGGTCGAGATGCATGTCAACAGCCCAATGCAAACTCTTCACCGCCCTAAACTACATGCAACTTCCCCCTTCTGGGAGCAGGGACGCAGGAAAGCCCAAAACGTTTGGGTAACAGTAGACATTACGAACAACCTGCCTGAAGCAAAAGAATAAAAACCACGGGAGGCAAGTAAGTCAGAAATGTGGGGAAATCTGCACACATTTACGATCCCTTGACACTGAACAAGCACCTAGGAGATCATCGGTCTACCTCCAAAGAGCCGTAAAATGAGAGGCGATTTTGTCGACCCAGCTGAGCTCGGCCCCAAAGCGCTGCTGCCTCTGTTCCTTCAGCTACAAGAGAAGAGAGCGATTTCGCAAGGGTACAAGCGAGGTATCCGACGGTGGGGGGAGAGCAAAGGCAGGAAATAGTTTTCCGGAAGCCCCTCGGCCATCGTTCGTGGCCACAATAAACGCCGGCCGGGCCCCGGGGCCCGGGGAGAGCCGGGCGCCGGCCGGGGAGTCCGTGTCCGCGCTCCGGCTCGCGGGCTGCCTTACCTTGCCCAGTAGGGCCTTCGTCCTGGCGCCATCTTCATGAAACCTCACGAACCCGAAAAGGCGGCTGTGGGGAGAGACACACGCGGCTCGTTAGAGCTCCGGGAACGCCACCGATCTACCCCTGCCCGAGCCCGAGGCCCCGGCGGCGGCTACGGCACGGAGAGCGCCAAGCCGAGGTGCCCGCCCCGCCGCCGCCAGAGGCAAGCCGCGCTCGGGCCTCCCCGGAAAGCGGCGCCAGCCCGTCCGGAGCCGACCGGGCGGGTGACGGCGGCCCGTACCTGTCCAGTCCGCCGAGCGCCTCCCTCTCCTCGGCTGTCAGGCTGGGGGACGCCTCCTCGCTCTCGCCGCTCGCTTTTCCCGCCGCCATTTTCTTTTCCTCATCACCGAAAGCGGCGGCGGCAGCGGCGGCGGTAGCGAGCGACACTCCGCAGGATTTCATGGAAACGCAGCGAATTCACAACTCCAACGCCGACACCCCCCCGCGGGCCGGGGCCCGCAACGACGCCCCCAATCTCCGCTCGGGACCGGCACACCAACTTTATCGCCGCCTCCTCCTCCGCCGCGGGCGGCAGCGACGAAAAATCCCAACGCGGCGGCGGCGAAGGCGGCGGCGGCAGGGGCTGCGGAGCCCCCGGGTCGGCAGCGGCGGCGGCTCGGCTGTAGGGTCACATCGCGGGGGCGGGCGGGGGACAGCCACAGGCGGGGACGGCGGGAACGGCCGGAGCGCGCGGGGCTGGGGGGCAAAGGGGGGGATTCGTTGGAGACACAAACTTCCCCGGCACCAGCACAAAGTTGTTGTAATTGTGTCACACAGCGAACCCCACGCCGCCGCCGTGACCCCCCCCTCCGCGCCCGGCCAGCGCCGCCAATCGGCGCCGCCCGCTCGCCTCACGTGACCTTTGTTGACTCACGTCAGCCGTGGCTCCACTCAACTTGCTAGCTGCCGAGCCCCGCCCACCGAGGCCGCCACCGACGGGGAGCGGGACGCAGGCCAATTCTGGCCGGTGGTTGGCTGCTGGGCCCGTCTGTCGGGGGGGAAGGGTTGTCACCGAGAGGCAGCAAACTGTTAGGTTGTGCTAGTTAAATATACTGGGGCAGAGAATGGAGGGTCCGGGCCGTGTCACCTCGGGAGCCGCGGCGGGATTGGCGGGAGGTGGGGGGGGGGGGGCGTGGGGGGAGGGGAGCGGTGGGGAAGGGCGAGGTCCGGCACCGCCCGCGGCGGGCGTGAGCTGTGAGTGAGGACGCCATGGACGGCCTTTGCCTGCCCGAGAGCCCGGTGGTGGGCCTAGACCACGGTCCCCGCAGTCCCGCGCTCCAGGGGTCCCGGGCCTTACAGGGCCTGGTAAAGGTCGCGTCGTCGGGAGGCGGTGCACGGCCCCTGACCTCCGCCCTCCGAAGAAGGCGCATACTTTTGGCACCGCTGGAAATAATGGCCTCCGCGAGGAGCGAGCTCCGGGAGCGGCTGCTGGCCCCAGCCGGGCGGCTCGGGCGCCGCCCTAAGCCAGGCCTGCGCTCCCTGCCCCGATCCCCTCACTCGCGCGGAAGGTGAAGGGGGAAAGTCCTCCTGACCCCCGGCCGGAGGGAATGAAGAGTCGCCCATGGGGTCTGGCTTGCTGATCTCGGCTCCCCACCGCCGAAGGTCTGTTGGCGGCACTTCGGGGCCAAATTTTCGTGCTACCTGCGTTTTATCGGTAGTTCGTTATGATATTGTAAAGAAAATAATGACAGTTGTTAAGCAGATCTCCAGAATGTTGGTTTCTGTTGCTGGTCTCGGGTTCATTCATGGAAGAGTTGGGGCTGCTTGTGGACAGGCCTAAAGGAAGACAGTGAAGATCCTTATCACAGCTTGTAGCCCAGAAAAAAGCCTTTTCTACCCTCCACAACATGCCTTAGACAACAATAACACTTTCTTGTTCTAACCGTATTTTAGATGTAAATAAAAGTCACTAGTCTGGTTTTCAATCCGAAGTGTAATTGGGAGAAAAAGAAAATATGCCTTCAGTCCGTTACTCTTTTCAAAAGACAAATTTAGTAAGCTATGTCTCATGTAATAGATCTGTTACAAGGCACACCTCCAGTCTTCAGAGATAGGAAAATATCAATTAATGGACATACGAGGACAAGGTTTCCTTTATAAACATGGACTCTTGTCTATTTTTTAATAACAGAACCAATAGACAAGATATATTTGACTTGGGTTTCAAAATATAAGGAAGACAATTTAGTGCTGACTCAGTAATGCTAGCAGTATTCAGTAAGAAGCTATAGAAATCCCAGCTGATTTTGCACACAGACACGGTTTTAAATTGTTCCCGAGACCAGTACCTAGACTAACAAACTGCAGTTTCATATAGATTATGTTTCATGTTTAATTACTTTCTCTGAAACAGCTTTTCCATTCTTTATGGTGTTCCATTTTATTTGAATGAGTATGGAGAGCTGAATGTTTTCTACAGCTAAATTAACACCTGCATTGTTAACTTTGTCACACGACCTTCAAAGCCTGGGAGATTTTGACACCCAAGATCTTCCCTCTCCACACACACACTTAGACGGGCACAAGCAGATAAAATTCAGCCAGCATTTGGCCATCTTCCTGGAGTTGGCGCCTCTTGACTCAAGCCCTTAAGAATTATAAAGCTACCCACCCCAAATCCCTCAAAACCTTTCCCACCACATAATCATCACTAGCTAATAGCAGAATTGCATTGAGTGGATGCAATGGGTGGAGTCAGGCAGACCTAGATTCAAATCTTTACTGCACAGGCTGTGTGACCTTGGGAAAATTACCCTCTAAGCTTGAAACTACATGTCTAGTCCAACTACAGATATCCATCCTCCATTATGAAGCATGAAACAACTTTTATATAGTAACATCAATCTTTATATCACTATATAATTTTTTAGATCTCAAAAGTTTATAATTTGTCAAGTAAATGTATATACAATAGGTATGAAGCCTCCAAGGTTTAGGTCCTCACTGCAGAAATGGTGAGATAAATGATTGTGTGATTATTTCTATGCAAAATGAATCTGAAAACATATAGACAGCAGAGAGGTTTAGCCAGAGCATGAATTGTGAAATCATACAGCTCCAGGTTCAAATCCTAACTATACCACTTGATAGCTGGGTGACCTTAGTCTAGTTTGAGCTTCAGTGCCCTCATCTGTGAAAAAGAAAATATATCCACTTTACAATATTATTTTGAATATTAAATGCCATAAGGTAGGTAAAGTGCCAGATACATAATATACATTCAAAGACCTCAAAGAAAAAAAGAAAGGGAGGAAGGAAGGAAGGCAGGCAGGCAGACTGGAATTTCTAAAATCCTTTCTTGCTTTCACATTCCGGGTTCTGGATGTATTGATCACCACTCTACCAATCACTGCCTCCTTATCCCTCCCCAACCTCTCTATAAACCCAACACATAGTTCTAATCCACTTTTTACTTAAGGCATATAATGCCAACATTGCTACATCTCCCCTTTATTCTAAAATTAAACCTCATATCACTTACTACTGATTCTTATTTCATAATTCTAACTTAATACACTAGGAGCAGGGGAGAGTAATTTGAGTTTACCAAGTTAATATGACCAATATATGCATAGATAAATCAACATTTTAAAATTATATAAATTTGTGTCATGCTGAGTCCGATTATGGACTAGTGTATAATTTGTAGTTAATACTCACATAAGTACCACCAATTAATATCAGAGAAGAAGCCCATTCAATTATAGGAAAACAAATTTAACTTTTGAACAACTAAATACTTAACCTGAAGCATTTAGGAATATGTAATTCATTCATAATGTTAGTGTCATGTAACCCATACAGATAAAAAGTCACACAACAGAGTCATGATTTATCTAGTCTTATAATTAGAACCATACTTTTTTTATATCAAAAAAATTTACCAGCTCTTCTCATACTCACCAGTGTCCTCAAGATTCCCCAACTGATGTCCAAACACGTTGATGACCAAAATAAAAGAGTAAGGGTGGAGGGGCGATAGGGAGCCAAGTAGACATTCAGTTATTACAAAAACTTCAGTGGTCAAAATAGTTTTGAGGGGCGCCTGGGTGGCTCAGTTGGTTAAGCAACTGCCGTCGGCTCAGGTCATGATCCCAGGGTGTGGGGATCGAGCCCCACATCAGGCTCCCTGCTCAGCCAGAAGCCTGCTTCTCCCTCTCCCACTCCCCCTGCTTGTGTTCCCTCTCACGCTGTTGCTCTCTCTCTGTCAATTAAATAAATAAATAAAATCTTAAAAAAAACCCAATCATTTAAAAAAAAATAGTTTTGAGACTTCTAGATGAAGTCAAGACCACCTGCACCCACCAGGAACCTAGATTTCTACCCTCACCAGGCTGTAAAGAGATACCTCAAATCACCACCACCACCTCACTGGGGAGGCTGGACTTCCACCCCAATCCAGCAGAAATGAGGGATCACTACCCACCCCCTGCTGAGTTGGTGTGAGAGGAGGCCTACTGCCCAGTGGTAACCAGGCCACCATTCCCATAGTGTCAATGGAAGCAATGTGGGGAGCACTAATGAGGCACTCCCACACCTCCCAGCCAGGGTGATATCAATGGAGGCCTACTGGGGAGCCAGAACTCCCATCCATATCCAGCAGTAACAAGAAGACCCTCCCCTTCCACCAGTCAACCAAGGTTGAGTAGGGAACCTGGACTTCTTCCACCCCTACCTGAAAGTAGTAATAAGGCAGTGTTTTCCCTCCCCGGACCATAATGATGCCAGAAGAGGCCTGCTAAAACAGAAGATTCCAATGAGATCCACAGTCTCATAATACCAAAAATGTCCAGGTTTCGATCAAAAATCCTTCATACCAAGAACCAGAATAATCGGAGCTTAATTAGAAAATACAACCAACAGATGTGAACACTGAGGTAAATCAGATGTTCAAATTATCTGACAAGGATTTTAAAGCAACCATCATGAACATGTTTCAATAAGCAATTATGAACGCACTTAAATGAAAAACTAGAAAATCACAGCAGAGAAATAGGAAGTTTCAGCAAAGAAATAGAAGATACAAAGAAGAACCAAATGGAAATTTTAGAACTGAAAAATACAGTAGCCAAAATAAAAACCAAATATATGGGCTCAACATCAGAATGGAAGGGATAGAGAAAAGAATCAGTGAACGTCAAGACAGAACAACAGAAATTACCCAACTTGAACAACAGAGAAAATAGACTGAAAAAAAAAAATAAATAAACAGAACCTCAAGGATCTGCGGGACTGTAGCAAAAGATCTAACACTTGTGTCATTAGAGTCCCAGAAGGAGAGGAGAATGGCCAGGGCCCAAAAAGTATGCAAAGAAATAATGGCTGAAAATTTCCCAAATTGACACAGTCCCTGTCCTGAGCTCGCTCTTGGGAGAGTTGTATAAATAAATTCTATACTATAATGCACAGTGATGAGTGCTGTAAGCTTTGCCCAAATTTCTGTGGATGCTCATGGAAGAGGCATCTTTATCAGCTTAGAGGGACCAAATAAAGCTCCTAGCAAATAGAAGATGGATTAGTAGGAACTAGGGGGTGGATGTAGAGGTGTGTGTGTTCCAGGCACAGGCAGCAATGTGTCTGCAAAAGCACAGAAGCCTAAGAATATGAGATTTATGGTAACTTCAAGAAGTTGCGTATGGCTGTGACCAAAAAGGTAAGGAAAGAACTGGGAGTTAAGAGTTGGAAAATTAGAAAAGCATATTCAAGAACCATACTGATGGTTATAGTGATTTTAGGCACAGAAATAATAACTGTAGAGTTGCTATTAG